AATTCTTGTAAAATTTTAGAAGTAATTAAATCTAATTCTAATATTTTTTCATTAGAAAGATAAATATTTAAAAAATCCGAAGTTATTTTAAGCTATTATTTAAATGCATTAAATAATATTAATGGTAAGTTAAAAATAATAATTAATATAATTTTCTTTAAATATAATTACTTTCTAAATAATTATACTATAACAAACCTTTTTATAATTATATTAAAATTTGCAATACTATACTAATAAATTTATAAAGAGCATTTCTTTATAAATATATTATAGTAAAAATTTTTATATAATTATACAATTTGTATAATATAAACTATGTGATTATAGTTATATTTATTTAAAATATAAATAAATTTATTATTTTACTTTATTTAATATAGGAATAATTTCAAGTATAATTAGAGCTGATTATGGAACAGAATATACATTAATGGCTCCAGTTCATATGTTTTTTCGTGAAAAACATAATGATATTCGTGCAAATTTATTATCATGGAAATATGGATCATCTACAAGTAATCAACGAATAGAAGCTTGGTGGTCACATTTAAAAAAATACAAATCGCAATTTTGGATTGAACTTTTTACTGAAATTGAAATAGCAGGTGAATGGTATTATGGTAATTATATTGACTAGTAAGTATATTTTTATTTTTATTATATATATGATAAAATTTATTATTTAGCATAAATAATTTATAATGTATTCTATAAGATCTATATAATATAAAATCAAAATAACGTACTAATATATTAATTTAAAATAAAAACTAGTATTAAAATAAATTTAGAATAAAATATTAAAAAGCAATATTTTATATTAAAATTTTGCATAAAATTTTTTTATTAAAATGTGAAAAAAGATTTATAAGTAAAATTATAAGCTATATAAATTTTTTAAAATTACCGTATTGTTGATTTTATATTACATCTGATCTTATAATATAATTAGTTAATTAAATAGATGCGCTATAATATATATATACTAAATTATTTATATCCAACTAATTAAATAATTTATATTTAGTGAATGTCTTATCTACATTTTTATGCCCCTTCTTAAAGTTGAATTATTTGAATTTAGGCAAGAATGGAATAGCCATAAAATTAGATTTAATAAGTATAATAGATGTCCAGCCGGCTGCCTGATGATAACTTTTTCTTACCAGAACTAAATAATACTCGAAATTATAGATTTAAAGTAAATTATGAAGAATATAAATTTATATATAATAAGTATTATTCTAGTGATTTTTTAAATATTTATCTTTCTAATGAAAAAATATTAGAATTAGATTTAATTACTTCTAAAATTTTACAAGAATT